TAGAGAGATAGATAGATAGAGAGAGCAAGGAAGAGCGAGAGAGAGATTTGGGTCTACCTTCAGCGCCTCACGTAGACCACCGAGGACGGAGAAAAAATGTTACAAAAAGTCAAACAAAAAAATACTCACACGAAAAATGTGGCGACGTCCACGTGCGAGTAATTCTACACACACGCACACACACACACACACACACACACACACACACACACACACACACACGCGCGCGCGCACTGATTAATATCGCTTATCGACTGAACGCTTGTATTATTTAAGAGGGTTACGTGCAACTTTAAGATAATAACATTAATACATTTTTTTGCTGAAGGTCACATTAGCCAGCGTAAAGAGTTTGTACCCTCCTCTAAGCAGGCGAGAGACTGCTGTGTTGATGTACATTGTTTTGAGGATATTAGAGAGATCAGGAATTATATCACTTCATCTCCAAATTTAAATAATATGTAGACATCCACGTCGTTGAGTTAGCTCTGATGAATATAGGATCCTACAAATCACATTCTTGGCGCGTGTCTGACCTTGAAAAATAAGAGCCAAGGACTCACAGGGCGGAGTCTAGGCGCAGGATTTTCCACTATGTCTCATCACCTCCTTCGGTGCGATCTCCACGAGCGCTGCAGACTCGCTCGGCGGGCCCTCTGCGCTCCTCGCTGCCGGGGCGCGGTTGGCTCGTCCGCGCGAGTGTGGGCCTCACCCGTCCACCATTAGAATGAGAGTCAGGAAGGAACACACACACCTCCCCTCTCCTCTCTTCCTCTCTCCTCCCCTCTTCTCTCTTTCTTTCTCCTTTCCTCTCTCCTCTCCTGTCCTCTCTTCTCTCCTCCCATCACACACACATATCTGTTAATATATATACATGTATATACATGCATACACTTGCATACACAAGGATACCTTTTGTTATTAACCAACAACTCTGGTAAAAATAGAGAGTAAAAGGGTGCGGTGTAGAAGGGATTTGTAGAGAGAACGTCACAGATAAACAAGAACAAATAGGAAGACGACGGGTGAGAATAAGTTGGAGAAAAACGACAAATTCCGACGTCTGATTTACAGTAACAAGGGCAAAGGGTGAGGCTGCTCGACTCGCGAGTTCCAGGCCATTTCGTTATTGAGGAGAGAGGGAGAGGGAGGGGAGATGGAGGAGGGATGAGGAGAGGAGGGGGATGGAAGGAGGAGAGGAGAAGGGATTATGGATAGATATATAGATAGATATATAGACAAATAGACAGGTAGACTGATAGATTGATAGACATAGAGAGAGAGAGAGAGAGAGAGAGAGAGAGAAGAGAGAGAGAGAGAGAGAAGAGAAGAGAGAGAGAGAGAGAGAGAGAGAGAGAGAGAGAGAGGGAGAGGAGAGAGAGAGAGAAGAGAGAGAGAGAGAGAGAGAGAGAGAGAGAGAGAGAGAGAGAGAAGAGAGAGAGAGAGAGAGAGAGAGAGAGAGAGAAGAGAGAGAGAGGAGAGAGATAGAGAGGAGAGAGAGAGAGGGAGACAGAAGAGAGAGAGAGAGAGAGAGAGAGGAGAGAGAGAGAGAGAGAGAGAGAGAGAGAGAGAGAGAGAGAGAGAGAGAGAGAGAGAGAAGAGAGAGAGAGAGAGAGAGAGAGAGAGGAGAGAGAGAGAGAGAGAGAGAGAAAGAAAGAGAGAGAGGGACCGAGAGAGAATGGGAGATGGACATTTAGCGAGAGAGAGAAAGAGAATAAAAAATAGATAAATAGAGAAAAAGAGAGGGAGCGAGAGAGAATGGGAGATGGACAGATAGCGATAGAGAGCGAATGAGAAATAGATAGATAGAGAGAGAGGGAGGGAGAGAGAGAGCGAGAGAGTATTACATATTCCAATCAGCTGATGGAGGTCGCGAATGACTTGTTTATTTGGCCGTCGCTTAAAAGTTTATTAGCTGCGGCGCGTATCCCTTTCTTGCTGATGGGTTGTTCATTCCGCGTCCATTTCTTATATACTTAGGGAATATCAGTGCTACCTATCTAGTTATCACAAAAAAAGAAAAGAAAGAAAGAAAGAAAGAAAAAGAAGAAAATATATATCGTGATGATACCATTGCTTGGGGGGAAATGGTTATTTTGATTGCAATAGATATTCTTCTGTTCTGCGTAGATGTTCCAAATCGAACTTTATTTCACATAGACGTTCGAATCCTGACGTCATAAGAACGGTTGTGTCCCGGATGAGCCGCCATGTTGGTAGTCAGAACGATCTGCTGTATGAGTTGTTTTTATTTTTATTTCCATGTTGCGGCTTATGATCGATTTTGCCCGTCTCCCCAAGTACGAGAAAACATAATTATTACTGTGCGGTACTGACATATATTGCAAGATGATGGAGAGTTAGCTACATAGTTATTTGCGTACCATATGACATTTTTACGTAACATTGAAAAAAAAATCTTTGTAAAGATCAGAAGATTCTCTGAAACAGAAAATGTTGCAGAAGTACAAGCTAATATCAAAACCACCGATTATTACAGCACACTTATTCTAAATGTTGCAGAGATGTTTTATCTTTATTGTCGTACCCTAAGAGAGAGCAACAACATACGTCTTCAGCTCTCAAAAAATATGCAAATAAAACTTTAGATTTGTCATAACAAGTCTGCAGTATGTTCTGTTTCCATAACTTTGGACGACATTTTAGTGACTGAACTAATAACTAAATGTCATTGTAGAAAGTAAATTACTTTCTTTTAATTAAAAAAACTATGAAATGAAAAACGAAGATTGATATATGGAAGAACTCATAACTTTATTGCAGGTTTAGTGTTCGATTATTAATAGTTATTTAATTACAAGCTGACGCTGAAATCCTTACCGGCTTACCGAGATCAGGCGTCGGGCAGAGATAAGCTTGGTGTAAAAACGAGTTTAAGTTTCCATAAGCTGTGGAAAATCTTAATTACACAGAAACACTGGACTACTTTGACAAATGGAAAGAGGGAGAATTAACCCACTCACGCCGGGTACATTTTGTAGCCAAAACTAAAAAAATCCGGGCGGCTACAAAATCGGCGGGCGGAGCTTCCCCGGAGTCTGTCCGCCCGATGGTGGTGATGATGGTGGTGATGATGGTGGTGATGATGGTGATGATAATGATGATGATAATGATGGTGATGAATAATATAATGATGGTGTGATGATGGTGGTGTAATGATGATGATGGTGATGATAATGATGATGATGGTGATGATAATGATGATGGTGATGATGATATCGAACCATATCTACCGGCCACTCAAAGGCAGGACCAAGTGCATGGAGTTCCGGTTCTTATTTCCAGATTCTCCTCTTCCTCTCTCTTTCCTATGATCTGCGCCATCGCCTTTCCATGATTCCTTCCTCCGTTGCAGATGCTGAAGGTGATGCTCGTGCTGGTCGTGGGCGGCGCGGCGTGGGCGGGTCCGCAGCGCTCCACGGTCGAGGTGTTCAAGAGCGTGTCCCACCCACAGAGCCACGTCGACGCCCACGCGCAGGCCAAGGAGGCGTGAGTCCTTTTCCTCTGCTCTCTGTGTCTCTGCTTTTCTCTTCCTCTCTTTCGCTGTCCTTGGCGGTGAATCTTCCTTTCCTTCGTGTTTTCTTCTTAGTCCGTTTGCTCTGTCGTCTTCGCTTCCCTATCCCTCGCATCATTGACATTTCTTGAGTGTGTTTTTCTTTGACACGTCTACACTTACACAGCCCGAGCAAGCACGTAAGGGAGAAACACGCTTGAGTTCGCAGGTTATTGAAAATTCGTGAGTGAAAATCATCGAAACGGAAAAGCGAACATGCATGATTTTATACGTTTACGAAAGAGGGTGCTGCTACTCCCTTTTCCAAAGTGAAAATAGTTATATTATGTCGATTTGATTTTGGAAATATTGGGAAATACACGTAATATAAATATTTGTGCACAGACATAGTGCTACGCTAAAGGAAACACACTCCCACATACCCCGTAATAACAAGCAAATACACACACACATACACGCACCACACGGCAGACACACACACACACACACGGCAGACTCGGCACACAAACACATGACAGAGCGGCAGACACACACATACGACAGACAGACAGACACATACATTCAAACACACACACACACACACATACGAAAGACATACACACACACATACGACAGACAGACAGACACACACACATACGACAGACACACACACACACATATGACAGACATACAAACACACATACGACAGACAGACACACACACATACGACAGACACACACACACACACACACATATGACAGACAGACAGACAGACACACACACATACGACAGACAGACACACACACATACGACAGACAGATACACACACACATACGACAGACATACGACAGACAGACACACACATACGACAGAGACACACACACATACAGACAGACAGATACGACAGACAGACACATACACATACGATAGACAGACATACGACAGACACACATACGACACACACACACACACATAACACACACATACGACAGACAGACACACACACATACGACATACACACACATACGACAGACAGACAGACACACACACATACGACAACACACAACACACACATACAGACAGACAAACACACATACGACAGACAGACGCACACATACGACAGACAGACACACACACATAGACAGACACACACACACATACGACAGACAGACACATACACATACGATAGACAGACACACACACACATACGACACACACACACACACACACACACAAACACACACATACGACAGACACACACATACGACACACACGCATACACACACACACACACATTCAAACACACACATACATACGACATACACACACACACACACGACATACAGACAGACAGACACACACACACAGACAGACAACACGACAGACAGACAGACACACACACACGACAGACAGACAGACACACCACACACACACACACACACACACACACACACACACACACATACACACACACACACACACACACATATATATATATATATATATATATATATATATATATATATATATTATATATATATATATATATATATATATATAATTTCCTCGCCACTGACCGTATCATCAAGGAGCTGAAGTGACGCCGCGGCTTCCTTCGCCCCAAATGAGTCGCGTGGGATCTCCTCTCGATGCCGGATTCCCGAGATTAGTGCGCCGTCGGGAGAGATTAGTCCCCTGTCGGGCGTTTCCTCCACCCGGTCGCCCTCCTCAAGCCAAGCCTCCGGTTGCGGTCCCGAGCAGCGTGCGGATTCTCGGTTCTCGGAGGGGAGTCTGGCTCGCTTCTCAGTCCCAAAAGAATGCGCTCTGGAGTATGGACAAGAAATGAATACACGCACATACAAATATATATACTGCACATATCTATATCTAAGTCTTGATCTATCTATCCATCTATTTATATCTACCTAGCCACCTATGTATGTTTATATGTACGTATGTATTCATCTACACACACACGCACATACACACGTGTATATATGTATATGAACACACCACACACGCACACATTCTCTCACATGAATGTATGCGTATACGTGTGTGTGTACTTACATGACTGTAATTTAACACTAGATTCTTTTTCACATACAGGTATGCATGTAAGATCGGCTGAGCTTGTAAGAAAAGCGCTTCCTGTCAACTCTTTCTTTTCCTCTTTTTTCCCTCCCATTCTCTCCCTTTGGATTCTCGCTCTTTGCTCGCAGTTTTATTCTGACGTGGAATGTTTCCTTCTCAGGCCGATAAGCCCGGATCTTTCTCCTCATTTGCTTTCTACTCTTCTATCTCTTTCTCGATTTCGATGTTTTTTCTCTCTCTTTTCTCTCTCTCTCTCTCTCTCTCTCTCTCTCTCTCTCTCTCTCTCTCTCTCTCTCTCTCTCTCTCTCTCTCTCTCTCTCTCTCTCTCTCTCTCTATTTATCTCTCTCTCATCTTCTCTCTCTCTCGTTTTTTTCTCTCTCTCTGCCTTTCTCTCTCTCTCTCTCTCTCTCTCTCTCTCTCTCTCTCTCTCTCTCTCTCTCTCTCTCTCTCTCTCTCTCTCTTTCATTTTTTCTCTCTCTCTCTCTGTCTGTCTGCCTTTCTCTCTCTAGTTTTTTTCTTTCTCTTCTTCTTTTTATCGTCTCTCTCTCTCATTCTTTGTCTCTTCTCTCTCTCTCTTCTCTCTCTCTCTTTGTCTCTTCTCTCTCTCTCTCTCTCTCTCTCTCTCTCTCTCTCTCTCTCTCTCTCTCTCTCTCTCTCTCTCTCCTCTCTTCTCTCTCTCTCTCTCTCTCTCTTCTCTCTCTCTCTCTCTCTCTTCTTCTCTTCTCTCTCTCTCTCTCTCTCTCTCTCTTCTCTCTCTCTCTATATATATATATATATATATATATATATATATATATTATATATATATACATACATATATACATATATATTCACACACATGAATGTCTATATTTGCCCGCGTGTGCGCCCCCGGGTCCATGCGTCCGTCTCCGCCGCAGCTTCCGCAACTCGGAGACCTTCTCGGCGCTGGACCAGCCGGCGCGCAGTTCTTCCAGATGCTGGGGAACCTCGCCTCCTCCATCACCAAGGCCGTTTCCGATTCCATGGAGCGAGCAAGACAGACGACGACTTCCCGAGCCTCCTTCTCCTCCTCCTCCCTCCCCGCCCCCGCCGCCACCCACGACAGCGGCAGCAGCGGGAGTACCGTAAGTGCCTGCCAGCCCTTGTTCGCCGAGGAATCTCCGAAACGCATTTCTACGGAATGAAGTAACCTTAAAAAGGCAAAAGCTCACTCCATCTATTCGTGCTCAGGCTTGTTTCTCTATTTCAATAATATTAAAATTTTTATATTTCATTTATTCATTTCGCGAATGAATTAATCGTTGCAAAAACACATTTTCGATGCAAACACACACACACACACACACACACACACACACACACACACACACACACACACACACACACACACACACACACACACACACACACACACACACACACACACACACACACACACACACACACACACACACACACACACACACACACACACACACACACACACACACACACACACACACACACACACACACACACACACACACACTACACACATATATACATATATATATATATATATATATATATATATATATATATATATTATATATATATATATATATATATATATATATATATATATATACATTCTAATGACAGGTGAAATTGATGAAAAGTTAAGCAGGCAGATAAGGCGAGCTTGAAATGGAAAGCAAATATATAAACTATAAGGATTAAGGACCAACTTTTCTTTGCAGGGATTTACTGTGGTAAAAAGCTTCAACAAAAAAATTATTCCTCACACTTCAGACCACTAGGATTAGCTGTTAACAGTAAGTGTAAATGCGCAGTATTTGTTTTACATATGTATGAATATATGATGTTTGCCTGAAATATGTGTCTACGTTGATATCTATCTACTTATCTA